ACTCCAGCAGCACTGGTAAAACCATACTGCTTTTTCTGATACAAGGAGACAAGTGCATCTCCAGGTTCCAAATACCATCGACACACTCCCAGGTCCCAAGTGCTTTTCTCATGCCTATCTTTTTAGGCCCAAGATCAAGACCTTTTCCTCAGGCACGACTAATTGAACATCCAAATGATAGCCTGTGACACTTTCTCCCTCTGAATGGCTTCCTGGATTCAATGCTAACCTGGGCATATAGCGGCACCCTCACACTAAAGGCATGATCAGCAAGGAAGATGTCTGAGGGTTCAACTCAGTTCTGCCCTCTTGTCTGGAAATCTGTTTCTGGAATTCTCATAGTTGACTTTGTTGGAAGTCCACACTGCCAGTGGTTTCTAATCTCACCTAAAAAGGGCCTACCGGCCCTTAAGCAGACATCTTCAACCCTCCTCGCAGAGATCTGGTCTGCAAAGATTATGTTTGATGGCTGCAGCCTGCAAACGGTGAAGTTTGTTCCTCTAAGGCAGAGGTGCAGAAGTGCAGCTTGAGTGACTGTAGAAACTGACACTCACAGAATACATTAGTCACATCGACAAGAGCAAAACGTCATCAATTCTGAGTGACTAGTATCAGTGATTAGTTTTTTGGGAGGGAGAATTCAGACTCTCATATGTATGAAGTGTGCATTATATAATGTGTATACTGGGTATGTGGGCCATATTAATCTGTATTAATTCACCCCTAAGGTATACTCATATACTTTTATCATACAAAAAATACTTGTAGAATTTTTTTGTTTCGTTTTGGTTTTGGTTTGGGGCCACATATGGCAGTGCTCAGAGCTTACTCCTGTCTCTGCACTCAAGGATCACTCCTTGCAGACTCAGTGGAACCATACAGGATAGGGGGTACAGAATCTGGGTCAGTGTGCAAGTCAAGTGCCCTATCCATGGCTCCAGCTGCCATATATTATTTTGTTACCTTTTCTTTCCCAGTATTTTTTAGGAATGTGTTTTTTAGTTTAAAACCAGCAAGTAATCAAAAATGAGCACTGTTTCCCAGAATAGCATTCACTTACTATGTAAATTACAGAGGTCCTTTCCCCCCCCTGGGCTTGTGGCTACCTCAAAGGGTAGTTTCCAGATGTTTCTGGGTAGGATCTTCCTGGCAGAAGCCCTGTTCACAGTATAATCAATGACACTCATTCCCCTTTAAAATAACAAAATCTTTTAGAATGCCTCATGTCTCTGGACCTCTAAACTTTTCTCCCCTTATCCTATTGCTATTAACCTGATACGCTCCCGGTGATCTTAAGAGTAGCCTCTGCTGTGGGCAGCAGCCCCATAGTCTTCGGGGACTAGGAACACACGTAGGAAGTGACAGTGGCATCTGCTTCAACCTTCAAAAGTTTTGTTTTACAGGGTGTTGGGAGGATCCTCCCAGGATGGGAGAAGCATGCTGAAAGTAGACTATCGACCAAACATGACTGCTACTCAATGCCTCTCTGGCAAACCACAGCACCCAAAAGGAGAGAGAGAACAAAAGGAAATACCCCGCCACAGAGGCAGGGTGGGATGGGGGCTGGGGGGGGTCGGAGGGATACTGGGATCCGTGGTGGTGGGAAACGCACACTGATGGAGGGATGGATGTTTGATCATTGTATAATTGAAACCCAAGCACAAAAATGTGTAAGTCTGGAAAAAAAAATGTTTTTTAGTGGGAAAAAAAAAAGTTTTGTTTTGAGCAAAAACTCTCTGTATGCTGACAAACAGTAGCAATCCTTAAGAGCCCATACACGCAGTTTAGATGTTCTGCACTATTATAAAAATCACTGGTATCACTCATCAAGGTTTGCTTTGTGGGGGGTAGAGGATTGGGGAGCCAGGAACCAGAGGCCCTTTTTTCCCTTTAACACCGAGCCACTAGTCTCTGATTGGGACGGGAACCTCTTATATCCTACTGAGTTGGGAATGAATCACTTGTAAGAGTAGGAAGCAGACAACAGCTGAGAGTCTCATGACTCAAACAGTGTTTGTGGGGAGCTATGATGCCCCGAGGCCTACACTGACCCCATGAATGGTCTTGCACACATGAGCAAGTGTTCACTGGTATCTTTTCACTGTACTCAGAGGCACCGTATCAAGTGTGACTCAGTCAAGCTCAGGGAAGGAAAGGGAAGTTCGATAGAGTGCACCCAGGAGTGGAAAGCAACCAGGGCACTAGGTACTTTTGTTGAACTGGCCTGAGGGGCTCCAGAGCTTCTCAGTGCTGTCTAGACAGCAGACTAGACTAGGAGGACTATTCACTCCTCACTGCCTGTGGAGGTACATTTCAGAAATGCAGCCATTTCTTTCCAAGTACTCCGGTGTTCCATATTGTGCCCTAGGCTTTCAATAGTGTGGTAAGAAATGTTGAAATCCTCCTTTAGGTTGATAAATCATGGGATGCCCTAATTAATACAAACACAAAACAGTACCCACTGCCCAGGATGTGGGCTAAACTAAAATAGAGCCTTTGTATGTTGATGTTACTTAGGAAGCCAAAGGCAGTTTGAGGACATATTGTCTTCATTTGGTAACAAACAAATCTGTTCACTGTGTCGTGTTAAGATTTGCACCTGAGTTTTTATTGGGCATGGTATGGCAAGGTAACTCAGACCAGGAATGGAATGGATCCACAAAACCTGGAGGCAAGGTACATCAAACCAGAGTGTGCCTAGGTCCTATCACCTACAAGGAATGTATCCCTTTATGCCTAGATTTATAGCAATGAATCTAATAATTTCCCCTGAAACAGTACATCTATGCCACTACTGCTTGCCAAGAAACCATGTCCATTCCTGGTCAGGGAAACAGAACTTGTGATACATTTAAAAGGTCCTACTTTGGTAGTTACCTAGTAGAACCAGGGCCAGTCAGGGGGAAGCTTTGGAACGGATGGGGCTTTGCTCAAAATCTTTATTGGGGTTTTCTAGGAAAACACTAGGAGAGGCAGAGTACATGTAAGAACTGGATAGTCTGAATCACTTTGGTGGGCTCTGGTGTAGCACTGGGCTCTTATAGGACCTCTGAGAATAGGAGTGGCCCCTATAGAGACCCTTTGTTATAGGAGTGGTGCCTAGCAGTCTGCTACTCAGGCCTGGGCTAATTTAGGAAAAGAATATTGACTTGGTGTTTGAGAATTTGATAAAAGTGACAGTTGGGATTGTGGACTGTGAATAGATATTTTTACCAAAAATATGTACCCAGGAACTTATATAGTCCTCAGAGAGGCGGTGTTATCAGGACAGGCCTACCCAAAGACACTAAATGAAAAATACAGAAAATAAGGAACAGTCGTTAACAAAGTTAAGCCAAATAATAAAGGAATTTCTATAAACTATAAATGAAGAAAGTCAAGGCAGAACTTTTATTTTACAAAGTAAAATGTCTTTGCCATCTGTCTATAGAAATCCACAAAGGATTGTAATATGAAAGAACACATACTTGGTTAAAAAATCTGGATTGAAACAGGAATTTGAGAGAGGGAGAAAGGTGCTTATACAGGCGACAGAGTTTCTATAAGTTAAGTATACAACAGTATGTTTAACCCCCCAGTATATAAAATTCCATGTCAAAGGTGGCAAAATGAAGAACGGCCACCAAAATGTGAATGTGGTCCGATTCTATAGGACCATTACATTCTTCGATAAGATTTATGTTGCTTAAATTATTTACAACGAGCATGAATGCTGATATAAGTAGAAAGAAGACTTTTTTCTAAAAGTTAAAAAAAAAACCCCCAATTTAAAAAGTATTTTTTACCAAGGAAAGAAAAATCTGGAACTTAGAGATTAAGACTTAAGAAAATCAACAATAATATAAACACTTAAAAATATTTAGCGAGAAATATCTGAGAAATAAATATAAGACCCAATACTTAAAAACTTTCACAAAATCTTCTTTTGCAAGTGTCCCACTGATCAAAATCAGGAAGAAAGGGAATTCAAGGTAATAATGATAATTCATGATAATCATGATAATTATGAATAATTTAATTCATGATAGGCAGGGGGGCACAATTATGACAAAAGGAAAAGGAGGTAATAAGAAAAATTTTCTAACAACATTTGTAATTATGCCAGATTTTTTTGCCAGGCTATTTTGTGCTTTGATGATCTAAGAAGGATTTAGTTATATATTATCAAGATCATCAGAGAGTCGAAGCATGAAGACAAGTTGCCATGTGAAGCACTGAAACACTGAGGCTGAGAGAGCACGTAACAGGACAAGTTCATGCTCTACATGTAGCACCATAGGGTCCCCCAAGCACAGAATTGGGAATGGCCCTTGAGCATGGCTGGGAATGGTCCCCAAATGAAAAAAAGAAAAACAAAAAAATATCCCACTTGCTAGACAGATAGTCCAATCAGAGGAGTGATTCTATGAATGCAGGAGGCCAGGGTTCAAGTCCTGTTACCAGCTAGTCCCCCGAGCACCAGCGGCAATGACTCCCAAGAACTGCTAAGTTGGGCTCAAGTTAGACTTCTTGTGATGCAGTTTTTCTGATGAGTCCCCAAATTACTTAATCACTTAAGTGACACTACTTCCACTACCCAGCCATCGCCACACTCCAGGACGCTTTCCGGACCCGCGTGGCAGCTCCGGCCGAGACTCACACACGACTGAAGACCCACAGAACAAGATAAGTGGAAATCTGAGACCTTGGACTCCAGGCTCGGCGGACCCAGGGACAGAGCTTCTCTGCTGCTCCCACCACCACAGCCGTCGCCACACTCCAGGACGCTTTCCGGACCCGCGTGGCAGCTCTGGCCGAGACTCACACACGACTGAAGACCCACAGAACAAGAAAAGTGGAAATCTCTGAGACCTTGGACTCCAGGCTCGGCGGACCCAGGGACAGAGCTTCTCTGCTTGCTCCCACCAACCACAGCCGTTGCCACACTCCAGGACGCTTTCCGGACCCGCGTGGCAGCTCCGGCCGAGCCCCACATACGACTGAAGACCCACAGAACAAGATAAGCAGAGTCCCAAAATATTTAACAAAAATCTAGATGGTGGATAAGTAAAATCAGTTTAAAACGGAATCCATGAATAAGAGTAAAAGAATTCTGACGACACCTCTTGAACTATTATTTTCTGATACTATCCTCCTCAATGGGAAGGAGCATGAATGATGAGGAGACGAAACTGAGCAGCTGATGACACAGCCAGGAGGAGAAAGTCAAGTCTAAGGCTCTCTACTTGCTGATCCTCAGTCTGCAGCACCCAGGCCCAGACTGGGGAGGAGGCTGCAGGGCCACCACGGAGGGCAGAGCACCGTGACGTGTCTCCTCATGTGGTGGCAAAGGGGGCTGGGCTCTAGGGGGTGTATTTTGTTTAAACTACATGGTAAACTGTTGTAGGACTTCAGGCATATTCTAACTTCATTTTAAATCAAGGGAGGAAAAAACACCCCAAATCAAGGTAATTCCGCCATCACTGGAATTAGGTTTTTACAGAAGTCCCCAAGTAGTTCTATCTGAGAACTATCCCACCAATAGAGACACCAAGCACTACGATTGATAGTCATCCTTCCTCATCACTGCTGCTCCAGGCATCTTCAAACGCAGGATTTAATTGTGATTTGCTTGTAGTCTAAAAAAGAGAACAGAAAAGGAAATAATTATTTTCAGCTCAAAATATGATTAGCAAAGATATAAGATGAATGGTAATTAGATTACTGGAGGGGAGGGGGAGACTGAGGCATAGCAGACAGTGCTCAAGGGCTCTTCCTGGGTCTGTGTTCAAAAGTGACCCCTAGTGGTGCCTGGGAGAACACATATGGTGGTGGGATTCAAACCTGGATTTGATACCCACCGCCTTATAGGGTCTCCTTAACATGGACAGGAGTGATCCCTGAGTGCAGAGGCAGGAGGAAATCCTGAACACAGCTGGGCATTGTCCCAAGCCAAAAACATACCCCCCTGCCAAATATTTAAGTAAATTGTGAATTGTAAATTATTAAGAATAATTAAGAATAATAATTATTAAGAATACTTATAAATAGTTACTTACAAATAGTTACTAATGGAAAAAGAGGCTAAGTATGCAATAAAAGTGAGAAAAGTAGGTTTGGCAAGTTGTAAATCTGAGTAGTATAATAACTCTTAAAAAAAACAGAGGAAGCTTTTTCCCTCTGGAAAGAAAGATGGCAGCCGCTTGGGAGCTTTGTGGAAAGCCAGGTATGAGCCGGTCGTGATGGGGTGACTGAAACCTCATGGGAAGGGGGGCATTCCCGGCTCGTCCTTCACGCCCTACCGAGGTCACGAGTTACCCCCCACGAGCGGCTCTCCGGCGCGGCCATGGCTCCAGAGCACAGAAACCAATCTCATAACTATCTGACTCTCTGCAGAAATACTTCCAGGGTTAGTAAGTAAAATACCAGAAATCCAAAATCACGGCCACAATAGCGGCCGTGCGATGTGGTCTGATTCTTGTGACCAGCTGTAGAAAACAAATTATTTCACAATTCCTTTTCAGCATGTCTGATTTGGGGGTGTAAACTCTAAATAATAATGGTACATCTTTTGTTGAAACAATGAATCTAGTCAAAGTAGATAGAGTGTTAATTAGAATTCATCTGCCTCACATGCATTGGGAAGGTTGGGAGGGGGAGGGTTTATTGGGGTTTTTCGTGGTGAAAAATAAGCATTGGTATAGGGAAATGTGTTTGATATTTGCATGACCGAGACTTAAAACTGAAAGCTGTGCAAGTAATGTGAAGTGGAGTAAGGAAAGCCTCTTTAATAAATTGTGTTGGCATCACTGGATGGCTACATGCAAAAAAATAGGCTCAGAACTCTGCCTAACACCATGTACAAAAGTAAGATCAAAATGGATTAAAGACCTCAACATCAGACCAGAAACCATAAGGTACATTGAAGATAAAGTTGGCAAAACCCTCCATGACATTGAAGCTAATGGTATCTTCAAAGATGCCACGCCACTGGCCGAGCAAGTGAAAACAGAGATAGATAAATGGGACTATCTTAAACTAAGAAGCTTCTGCACCTCCAAAGAAACAGTGACCAAAATACAAAGACAGTCTACAGAATGGGAAAGGATATTCACCGAATACACATCTGACAAGGGGTTGATATCCAGGATATACAAAATACTGGTTAAACTCCACAAGAAGAAAACATCCAACCCCATCCAAAAATGGGGCAATGAAATGAACAGAAACTTTCTCAAAGAAGAAATCCGAATGGCAAAAAAGCACATGAGAAAATGCTCTACATCATTAATCATCAGGGAGATGCAGATCAAAACCACAATGAGATACCATCTCACACCTCAGAGACTGGCCCAAATTCAAAAGAACAAAAGCAACCGATGCTGGCGTGGATGTGGCGAGAAAGGGACACTCCTTCACTGTTGGTGGGAATGTCCACTGGTTCAGCCCTTCTGGAAAACAGTATGGACGATTCTCAAAAAATTAGAAATTGAGCTCCCATTTGACCCAGCAATACCACTCTTGGGAATATATCCCAGAGAGGCAAAAATGTATAGTCGAAGTGACATCTGCACTTGTTTGTTCATTGCAGCACTCTTTACAATAGCCAGAAACTGGAAGAAACCTGAATGCCCAAGAACAGATGACTGGTTAAAGAAACTTTGGTACATCTACACAATGGAGTACTATGTAGCTGTTAGAAAAGATGAAGTCATGAACTTTACATACAAGTGGTACAATATGGAAAGTATCATGCTAAGCGAAATGAGTCAGAAAGAGAGGGATAGACATAGAAAGATTGCATTCATCTGGGGGATATAAAGTAACAAAGTATGAGATTAATACCCAAGAATAGCTGAGATCAGCACCAGGAGGATTACTCCATAACTTAGAGGCCAGCCGGGTATCCTAGAGGAAAGGGCAGTTCAGATAGAGAAGGGAGCACCAAATAAAGGATGTTTGGAGGATCCTCCCAGGAGGGGAGATGCATGTCGAAAGTAGACTATGGACTGAACAAGTTTGCCACTCAATGCCTCTTTTGCAGACCACAACACCCAAAAGGAGAGAGAGAACACAGGGGATTGCCCTGCCACAGAGACGGGGGGATGGGGGGATGGGGGTGGGAGGGATATTATCCATGGTGGTGGAAAATGGGCACTGGTGGAGGGATGGGTATCTGATCATTGTATAATTGAAACCAAAGCACAAAAAATTGTAAATCTACAACTTTAAAAAAAATAAAATAAAATAAAGGGGGAAAAAAAAAAAAAAACCTGAAAGCTTTGTAACTTTTCCCACAGTAATTCAATAAATAAATAAATTTAAAAAAATAGAGGAAAAAAGCAAAAATGATGTGACAATTAACCTGCAATTAACAATAAAGTATTCACAGACATTAATTCAATTTTAGAAATTTTTGCTCTTTAGATATTTTTCTGAATTTTTCAATGGTCTATAACGGGCAATATCTATTTCCTTTTACAATTAAACTAACACATTCTTTAATGGTATAAGGTATTCTTCTACATAAGGTAAATGAATAAAGATTTTTATGATTTAGAAATAATACATACGAGATATTTTACTTACCTCATCACTGTCAGGTACTGGCTCATATAAAGATGAAACCCAAGCAAGAATATTGCAATCTCTGCTACCACTATAAAGTTCCTGTAACACAGAAAGCAAAGATCTGACTATGGATCAATTCAAAGCCGGTACCAATCTGAAATAAAGTATACCAATTTTGGGTTAGCTAAATTATATTAATCATTTCTATTATTCTGTAAAGAAATGGGCTTATGCCCCTTTTTTTGGTTTTGTCTTAAAAGATGATAAAGACCACTTCACTTTAATAAATCTTAATTTGCATTCTAGTAATATAGAAATACTACCAGGGGGTAAGTATTTTCAGGGGAAAAGAGTCTCAATTTTCTAATCTATAATAATGAAAAATACCAAGAGTTTTGCTACATTAGAGACTCTTTTAAAGGATCACATGGAATCCAATCCAATCTGCTTTAATGGTAAGATGAAAAAGAGAGGTCAGGACATTAAACCAAAAAAAAAAAAAAAGTCTTGGGGCTGGAGATAGCACAGCGGGGAATGTGCTTGTCTTATACCCAGCTGACCTGGGTTTGAGCCCCAGCATTCCATATGGTTGCCTGAGCACTGCCAGGAGTAACTCCTGAGTGCAGAGCCAGGAGTAAGCCCTAAGCACAGCAGAGTGTGACCCAAAATACAACAACAACAACAACAACAATGGAAAAAGGAAAAAGAAGAAAAAAACCTTATACAGTCAAAAAATATCATTTGCCATCAACTCAAAAGCAGGTTTGAGTAGCCACTGACTTAAAAATAACAAATAAATTTTTGACAGATTCACACAAAAATGAATCGAGATACACGAATTATTTTGAGAGCAGACACAAACGAATCTGCAAGAATTAGTTTAATCTGCCACTGATTTAAAACCTGCAAATGGTGCCTATCTACAAAAAAACTTATTCAAGCTGAATTACAGTATTTTTCTGATTCCCACATACATAGCATCTAAATATCTATGCAACATTATCTTCTTTAAAAAAAAAAAGTCTGGTGCTTAAGTGTGGATTATAAGTTTAAGTCATCAGAATGAAACCACAATTACTCTTTTATATATATGACTAATCTAGCATCCTAGCTAGGAGTAGATTTTTAATTCCTTTAAGTATCATTCTTACCTGGAAATTAGATTGAAACACACAGCAGTCAACGTTTTTATAATGTCCCTTAAGCATAGTTATCTGTTCTCCTGAGTAAATTGTATAAACAGCAATGGTGCTACCGTATGGTACAAAAACAAATTCTGAACTGCAGCCACAGGAGACAGTAAATTTCAATCCTTTTCGACTCTCATTACAAACTTTTCCATAGTTCACCTGTAGGATGTAAAATTAAAAAGTTATTCATTTCTTAAATTTGAAAGACAACACAAATGCAGAAAAAACACTCTAAATACTGTACAATACTATTAACAGGACTCTACTGAACTAAATCTAACAGAAATATCTGACTAGACACTGAAACCAATGGCATAAATTTTCTTAAGAAAATATACATATAGTAAGCAAACCAAAAAAGCTAATGTTAGCATTCTGACCAGGACAGAAAGAATGCAAATTGCAGCAACACTGAAATATCATTTTAAGTCATTTAGCCTAAGAACTAAACTCTAATTATATGTCATAAACTGAAATAGGTGATTGCCTATGACCTTTCCCCCCAATTTCATGAATATAAAATGATCACTATAAAAAGTGGTATAAATATCATGTTATAAATTATGAAAGCATTGCAGATGAATGGGTTTCTTTCTTTTTTTTTTAAAGCTTTTTGGGTCACACCTGGCAGTGCTCTGGGGTTACTCCTGGCTCTGCACTCAGGAATTCCTCCTGGCTGTGCTCAGGGGACCATATGGGAAGCTGGGAATTGTGCTCAGGGGACTGTGCTCAGGGCTGTGCTCAGGGGGCTGTGCTCAGGGGACCATATGGGAAGCTGGGAATTGTACCCGGGTCGGCCCTGTACAAGGCAAACGCCCTACCCGCTGTGCTATCACTCCAGCCCCTCTTCTGGCTATATCTTAAAGGTGGTATATACAGTCTTTGAAAAGACTTTTTATTTTTATTTTAAGATTTTGGTTTTAGGAGAAGGAAAGATTTCATAGACTTAGAATATAATGATGGCAAATTATATTACAAAATTACAAAACATTACAAAATATTATAAAATATTACAAATTATTACAATTATTACATCTATTAGTTCATATACTATGCAAAATTATACTATAGAAATGGTACCATTATTATACAGGGCTGGGGAGAAACTTAATTCCATCAAGGTCTTTTGTCTAGTACATGACTGAATCAGAAACTTGGTCTAGAACAAATTAATCAGAAAGCTCTGTGCCACATTACTGCAAATCATGTTTTTTTTTTTTACTCTATGAAGTGGTTCATTATAATACAGGTGAGCAGTGGACACCCTCAAAATATCTAAGCTAGATTAAAGAAGTCAAAGGGCATTTGTGCCTTATATGAGCTTTGAAAGTTGAGAACAGCTAGAAAAGGGAACAGTAATCAAATTTTAATATTTTCCACTTGCAACTCCCAATGTATCAACTCAATGGTACATATAGGCAATGCACAATTTTAAGAAGAGAGGTTCTAAAGCGAAGTCAGCAGACTATGGAGCAGACTGAAGGGTGAGTAAGCTCTTTCTATTTAATGATGGGTAAGTAGTTCAGCATGGCTAAGGACAGACAATGAAAAGAAGAGAATGGCAAGAGAAATCTGGTGTGCTAGATTAGTTTAAGAAGACCTTGTGTGGGCCATAACAATAGTACAGTGAGTAGGGTAACTGCCTTGGATGTGGCAGACCTGGATTTGGTTCCTGGTATTCTACCTGGTTCCCCAAATGCTTACAATGATCTCTGAGCACAGAGAGAGGAGTAAGCCTTGAGCATCACCAGGTGCGGACCCCAAACAAAACAAAACAAGGTTTTGGGTACAACTAGCAACAGCATTCAGTAAGCATTTAGGAAAACACTGGATGACTTCCACTGGGAGATGGGCTTAGGAAGGACGTTAGAACCCTTGGCAAAGAAGGAGATGAAAGAGTGGAGAAGTGAAGAACTCACAGGGTTTCTTGCTGGTAACAGTTGGGTTGACAGAGAATTAAGGTTGGCACCTTAATTCATACTTTGGTGACTGGACAATTTGTCTAACTATAATAGTGAACATCAGAACTTTGAAAATTTTTCTTTTCTTTTCTTTCTTTTTTTTTTGTGCAGAAGCTGTCTCTAAATTTTCCCTGCAGGTACTTGTATTGTAGTCTAAGACCTAACCAGTAGATCTTCTTAAACTTTGGGTCAATATGGAGTCAGGAAACTGAACATGAGGGTCATAAAAATTTCTACTGTCACTGTCACTGTCCTCCCGTTGTTCATCGATTTGCTCAAGTGGGCCCAGTAACGTCTCCATTGGAGAGTTTGCTGTTACTGTGTCTGGCATATGGAATACGTCACGGGGAGCTTGCCAGGCTCCGCCGTGCGGGCGAGATACTCTCGGTAGCTTGCCGGGCTCTCCGAGAGGGGCGGAGGAATCGAACTCGGGTCGGCCATGTTGGCTGTGTGCAAGGCAAACGCCCTACCGCTGTGCTATCGCTCCAGCCCCAAAATTTCTACAACAGTATTAATTCAAAATTAACTACATATTGATGAGGGGGTAGAAGAAGGATCACAGTGATGGCAGAAAAGGGGTTGAGTGAAAAGGGGTTGTGAGTAGGAAAAGTTGAGGAAGCCCGGTTCAAAGATTATAGATCCCAGAGTGTCATTCTGTAGGGACCCATGGAGCTTGCAAGATGACTATCAGAAAATAATTTAGATTTAGCACAGCGGGCTGGAGTTATAGCACAGCGGGTAGGGTGTTTGCCTTGCACGCAGCCAACACGGCTGACCCAAGTTCGATTCCTCTGCCCCTCTCAGAGAGCCCGGCAAGCCACCAAGAGTATCTCGTCCGCACGGCAAAGCCTGGCAAGCTACCTGTGACGTATTCAATATGCCAAACACAGTAACAACAAGTCCCATGATGGAGACATTGCTGGGCCCACTTGAGTAAATCGATGAATGGGAGGATAGTGATGCAGGTTACCTAAAAAATTAAGGAACTAGGCTTTGATAAACCATATAGTTTTATCATAATTTTATTATGTTATCTGCACATAATTTATGTATAGTTAAATATACTGGACACATGCACCTATTTTCTCAAATAAATGACTAAATTATTAATAGAGTAATAACACAGAGTAAGAATAATTTTCACTTTGGGCTAGGGATGCACCTCAGAATAAATCACGTGATTCCCAAGTATGAGGCCCTGGGTTTAACCCCTTGCACAAATTATGGTATGTCTATTATTTATTTATCTACTTATTTAATTTCTTTCTTTTTGGGTCACACCCGGAAATGCTCAGGGGTTATTCCTGGCTCTGCACTCAGGAGTTACTTCTGGCGGTGCTCAAGGGACCATATGGGATGCCAGGGATTGACCCAGGTTGGCCACATGCAAGGCAGATGCCCTACCCATGCCGTACTATCGCTCCAGCCCCTATGCCTATTATTTAAAAGTATAAGTCTACTCTTTACACACTCGCCTTTTACCTGTATAATTATATTTTAGGTAGTTAATACTCCTGAATCACAGGATAGAGATACTAAGTCTAATTTCATAGTCCTTCAAGATGTTACCTTTCATGTCCCCAAATTACAAAGGCAGAATTGGAAGCAGTTTTCTTTTCTGTGAGAGGTGGGGGCACACCTGGCAATGCTCAGGAATTCATACAGGATACTGGGGATCTAACCCAGTATATTAGATCCCTATGTGTATTAATTAAAAGTTAACAGTATTAATTAATTTACATGCCCAGTGTGTTAGATCCCAATATGCTCTGCACACATCTATGGTTAGGCTGCTGGGTGCAAAGCACGCACCATGCCCACTGGACCATCTCTTCAACCCCTGAAACTGGTTTTCTTAAGTATTTGAAGACAGCATGTTTTCCATGTCTTTTTCTGGGACAAAATGTCCCAAATTCTTTTAAGAGTCATTTGTAGGTGAGTTTCTGTGCTATTCTAGTCATGCTTGCAAGGTATGCTACTATGATCATATCCATTAAAAAAAAGTTTCTTTTTCCTTCTAAACACGCTAGTCTAGATGTGAACTTATTAGCAAAAAATCCACAGGGTATGAGTATCGCCTTCAAAAAAGAGATGAGTGGAGCTGTGTCATATAAATTATGTACTACTTATTACCATTTATTCTCATTTCATTTGCCTTCGACATACTTGCCACACAAAGTTCCCTTGTCACTTCTCCACTCAAATCCTGACTGGCCTCCCAACTCAAGGAAAGGCCTAACCTCTCCAAACTGCTCACATTCCGATGCTCTGTCCCTTCTGTTCATTTCCTATTACATCTCCCTAGCTTACTTAAATGAAACCACTTCTTACATATCTCTCGGGATCCTAAACATGCTTCCATTTCAGGGTTTTTGTACTTACCCACTTCCTCTACCTTGAATACCTTCCTTGCTAGATATCAAAAGTTGTACTTTTGGATTTCATTCATGTCAAATATCCTCTCTGGGAAGTGGGGGTGCTCCCAACAGTGCAGGGGTCACTAGAGCAATACACAGTCGTACTAGGGAACCCTGCAGCGCCAGGAGTCGAACCTGGGGCCTGTACATGCCAGGCAAGTGCTCCGTCTTTTAAGTCAGTTCCTTTTCTCAAAATGTCTTCTTGTAAGTGAGGCTTATACTGACTGCCCTATGTAAAAATGAACTCTAACTTCCCAAGATTTTCCATGTTCCTTTCCTGGCTTTTCTTTACTTCACACTGCTTACTGCAACTAACTTATGTTAGCTACTTATTCATTTACTGAGTGACAGTTGGATGTCTGCCTCCCCTTCCTGGAATGTAAGCTCCATAAACTTAAGTTTAGTCTCCTAATGAGTCAATACTACCTAGCTGTAAGAACTTCTCAATAAATATTTATTAAATAAGTGAGAAAAGATAAGCTATGATTAGGAACATTTGCACACAGTAATGATGATCATTAAACACTATAATTTACAACGTCTAACCTTCTAGCCCGAGATCTGGTGAATAATTTCATAAAGAAAATGAGTGATTACCTTCGTACTGCAAAATGAATAAATAATAAAAAAAAAAAGAGAAACGATGGGATTAGGCAATTCTGAAGTTACCTAGTATAAACAATTTTGACATTATAGGAAAATTAGCATTTAATAATGAAAGTGGTAACTAGAGCATCTGAAAGATAATTATTGAGTACAAGGGAAGATGAAAGTAAAACGATATTAACATTAATACCTACCTTAAGATATTAATAAATGATACCAGAGGTTTGGGTATAGCAGTATTATGTAAAGAGTGCAATAGAGAGCAGAAGTCCCTAAACTTATTTGGTTTACTACCCCTTTTCAAACAAAGCTCATTCAGCAGCTCCCGTAAATCTGTCTTGTTGAGGCAAACAAACAGAAAGCACGCATGCCCCAAATGCACCAAGGCTATCACTGACACTGGATTGCCCCAGTGTTCTGGTGGGGCAGGGTGGTATCACCCACTTTGGGAACATAGATGTAGTGTCAAATTCTTGCTTTCTAGTTTCTCAGAAACTCAGGCAAACAACCTATTTTATGTCTCACATGTTACACGTTGATTCTAGCGAATAAAGTACTAGAACATACATTTTGGTTATCATTACTATTATCATTATGGCGGTGCCAAGGACAGAAACCAGGCCCACATGTGAAGCATGCATTCCATTACAGAGCTTATCCAGTTCATTTTGGATTCAGTTCATAAGTAATATATTGTAAAAACTGTAATTCAGAAGCAAGAACTACAATTAGATCTATAGAAGAACATCATGAGCACATCACAAATTCATTTCTATATTTTATATCCAAAAGACTGGAAGTGTAATTAAAATCACTTACAAGTGTGTTTTCTCCACTGGAACTGTTCCAAAGCCTCATTCGATTATCTGTGCCCACAGTGAGGAGGTGAAGCCCATCACTTGTAAAACATAAGCCATTAACTTTCCCATTATGAGCAGTGTTTGCTACAATGAAAGATAGTTTATTTTTTATCTGTTCTTGTGTTCTGCACCGATTTAATACTGAATAAAAGTGTTTATACATATAAAAGACAAGTCCCTTAGTTACTTAAAATGCACAAGTTGAAGGGGGTATGGTGCCTCCAGCAGGCCAATCTCTACCTGTGAGGCCAGTGCATCAGCAGCCTGATGGCACCTTCAGACTTCCAGATACCCCAAAATTGCTGCTGTGCCTTTGGCCAAACCCCAAAAACTTGGGGCAAAGTTTACCAAGAAAGTAAACAGTCAAAAGTTAGGTATGTGGGAAACACACCCACAAACCACCTCCAGCTCAGCTATGTAATTGGAGGCATGGCCTCTCTGGTTCCTGATTGAACTGCTTAGTGGCCATGATCCCAGAGACTCAGAAACAAATCTTGAAACCCATGACAGAAATGTCTTCGGTCCCTGCAGTAGGTTACCGGCACTGGGCCAACCCAGGTGGGAATAGGTTTCGTGCCTTGGCCTGTTAGGCTGCCATCCTCCAGAGGCCACTGGACAGTCAGGTTTGGGCCTGCAGTGACGCAGGGCCTCACGGGGTGGGGGTGGAGACAGTCCTGTCCTCCCCACCCCAACAAGACCCTAAGTCATCCCTCCTGAATGGCCTCTCTGGCTTCTGATCAAGCTGCTTAACGGCCATGATCCCAGAGACTCAGAAACAAATCTCGAAACCCAGTGGCTTTTGGCAGAAATGCATCCGGACTCCACAGTGCGTTACTGTCGCCGGGCCACTCCAGGGAGGAAAGGGTGTTGTCTCTCTGCCTGCTCCCTCTTGGCGACTTGGTGGCTGTAATCCTCCAGAGGCTATTGGACAATCAGACTTGGGCCCACAGTGACGAAACTTGTTGGGCCTCATGGGATGGGGGTGGAGCCGGTCCTGTCCTCCCCGTTCCAATGAGACCCCAAGTCATCGCTCACGAATGGCCTTTCTGGCTCCTAATCAAGCTGCTTAATGGCCATGATCCCAGAAACTCAGGAACAAAACTTGGAACCAAGCAGGTTTTGGCAGAAATCCCTCCAGATTTAAGTGTTTAAAATTTCGGAATTTCAAAATCACGCGGCCACTACTGCAGCCACGTGACATCATATGTTATTCATAACCAGCAGCAGAAAACAAATTGTCTACTGTTGCCTTTTCAGCAGATCTGAGTGTTGGGGTAAAATCTCAAATAATAATGGTGGGTCTGGTGTCAAAATATTTAATGTGATCAAAGTAAAGAGAGAGTAATGTGGAAATCATCTGCCCCACAGGTAGGGGGAGGGTGTGGGATGGGGGTATACTGGGGTTGTTGGGGGTGGAGAATGGGCACTGGTGAAGGTACGGGTGTTTCATTGTATGAACTGAGACTTAGACCCGAAAGCTTTGTAACTGCTCTCACGGTGATTCAATAAATAAAATTATTAAAAAAATGAAAAAAAAAGTAAGGTGGAGTGCATGCACAATTCAATCACCTAATAAATAGCAGTACTCCTACATTAAAAAAAATAATGCACAAGTTGATTCTATTTAACATTTATCAATTCCTAAGCTACTGAGAGTATCTTGCTCGCATGGCAAGGCCTGGCAAGCTCCCCGTGATGTATTAGATATGCCAAAAACAGTAACAACAAGTCTCACAATTTGTTGTGAGACGTTACTGGTGCCCGCTCAAGCAAATTGATGAACAATGGGAGGATAGTGCTACAGTGTTAAAATATAAAAATTTTTTTATAATAAAAAATTTCAGAAAAACCAGAAGGGAAAAATCCTAACAATTCCATTTGTGCTTCAGAGAGTTAAATATACAACTTAACACTAATATTTTAAATGCCTTTCAAACTTACATACTATTTTCACTCTCAATCTGAAAGTCATTCCATGGAATATAAAAAAATACTAGTATGTCCAGATTTTCTTAAAAAAAAAACTTAGTGCGGAAAGAGTAATTGTTCTAGTCTCAATCAAGATTTTTACAACTCAAACTAAACAAGTTTAAGAAAGCATAATTCTTCAACTATTTAATTTTACATATTACTAAAATAGTCATAGTTTTATATTGTTAATCCTAAGACATTTCTGGTCCAGCATTACTTCTGAATCAAGATTTTAATCAATACAGCAATTAAATTATATTGCAATAAATAAATAAGGAACTTTGTCCCTTGGGTTGTAGGTGACTCATAACATGACTGGCAGATTTTACTGCAATGTAACCACAAAATAGTGCTCCTCCTACAACTTATTGTAACTTCCTAAATGGCACTGAATTTCTGTTAGTCTATGGATGGAGAATAAACAAGTAAACAAACAAAACCCAGTAATAAGTCAATACAGAAAAGTTTCTGCATTTGAAAATTCACGGGGCAAGGGCTAGTGCAAAAGTACAATGGGTAGGGTGCTTACCTTGCATGAACCTGACCTGAGTTTGATCTCATATGGTCCCCTGAGCACTGCCAGGGGTAACTCCTGAGTGTAGAGTCAGGAGTAACCTCCAAGCATTGCCAGGTGTGGCCCAATACAACAAAACAAACAGAAAAGAAAAATTAGAGACAGATGAAACAATACTTAGTTGAATCCTAAGAAAAGGGAACCACTAGTTCATGTAAATTTAGAAATTACATAGCAAATGCCTTAAAAATTAAAAAAATTATAATCTGTCAATGTTTCAAAATATTTCATATAAAATATGCTATTGACATATTTCTATATAAATGCATTTTTCATTACCTGATTCAGCAGCTTGTGACTTTTTCCCGTTATGCTGATCAAGTGTAATCAAGCACCCTGATGCTCTCCTCACGTCCCATAATTTGACTCTACTGTCTGCACTGAAAAAAAAAAATCATTCTAGTGACACAGTTAAGACAGTGACTGTAGCTCAAATTCCCTTCTTAGTATTTTCAGACATAGTGGCCTTTGTGTATCAGTGCAAATATACTTGTACATTTGGATTATTGTATACATGGTTTTTCAACAAATATTCAATATTAACAGTAACAAAAAGATTAAACTTAGGGTGGTAGATAGGAAACTTTTAGATCATAAGGACAAAATTATGCTGTTTTAAGTTAACAATTTTCTGTGTATGTGTGTTTGAGATGAGCACACCTGGGGATGCTCAAGGTTTACTCCGAGCAATGCTCAGGAGACGTTATGCCAGGGACCGAACTAAGACCAATGGAGTACGTCCTGTACTAATTAGGGCCACAATCACAATCACGATCACGACCATCCTGTTGTTCGTCAATTGCCTCGAGCAGGCACCAGTAACAGTCTCCTTCCTCCTAGCCCTGAGATTCTAAAAAGTGCCACATTCAAAATTTCACTTTAACTATCTACTTAGGCATATTGATATTCTTCAATATACATATATATGAATGTGAATAAACATTTATATATATAAACAACAGAGAGTAAGATGGATAAAGGAGGACAATATAGTTTCATTTTAGTTTCCTGTAAGCAAATAAACCTTCTGGGCATATAAGAACTATAATATCTTTTACACATTAGACATTAATTTTTATTTTAGTAAGTGAAACAAAAAATACAAAATAATGACAACATATCAGTTTCAGTAATTCCTAAAGAAAAAATATATATCAATTCAACTAACATTACCATATCCTCACAAAGGCCTCAAGAATATTATAGCTCATTTTACTTATACAGATTTTATTATTATTATTATTTGGAGGGGGCCATACCCAGCACTGCTCAGGGCTTACTCCTTTCTCCAGACTCAGAGATCACTCCTGCTGCAACGTGGGGGATCATATGGAGTGTCAGGAATCAAACAGGTTGGGCAGGTGCAAAGCAAGCGTCTTTTTACCCACTTGTACTATCTCTCTGGCCCTATCCAGATAATTTTAAATCACTTGATCACTTGATCCCCCGTTATTCATCGATTTACTCGAGCGGGTGCCAGTAACGTCTCCATCCATCCCGGTTGCGTGCTAGCGTAGCCCAATGGCATCTGTTCATTCTAGGAGCATGCAGAGCCTCAAACCGATCATTCAGGGTCTTGACGAAAAAGTCTGACCATCTTGTAGGTGGGCGTCCACGCAATCTTCTGATGTCCCGTGGAATCCAGTCAGTAATGGCTCTAGTCCAGCGGTTGTCTGTAAACCTCATTACGTGTCCAGTCCATCTCATTTTTGATGCGTTGGCAAATGAGACAGCATCCCTGATTCTTGAGCGTTGACGGAGGTTAGAACTCCAGATTCTATTTCTCATTTGAGTGAAGCGTGATATTCCAAGCATAGCTCTTTCGATTTCTCTTTGAGAGACCCGAATAGCGTTCTCAGCCTGTTTTTGTAGGGCCCAGGTCTCTGAGGCATATGATAATGCAGGAAGAACAGTGGAATCGAAGAGATGTGCTTATAGCTGGAGGTTCTTTGTCCTCTTAGTTATTTCTTCAACGCTCTTGAAGGCATTCCAAGCCGCTCTCTTCCTCCTGCGCAACTCAGGTGCCAGGTCATTCATCATGTTGATTTCTCGACCTAGGTATATATAACTTGCATTCGGAGATGGTGGTTCTGTTGAGAGCGAATGGAGTGTCAGGAACGAGGCTGTTTCTCATAACATTGTCTTCGTAAGATTCAGCTTTAGTCCGACCTTTCGACACACACGGTTGAAGTCGGTCAGCATTTGTGCCACTTGGCTGATGTTTGCTGTTATTAGAACGATGTCATCAGCAAAGCAGAGGTGGTATAGTTGCCGACCATCTATCTTCACTCCCATTTCTTCCCATTCCAGTCGTCGCATGATGTTCTCGAGGGTGGCACTGAAGAGTTTTGGTGAAATGGTATCACCCTGCCGAACCCCTCTCTTGACATGGATAATTACTTTGTAGAATGGTGAGATCCTGGTAGTGAATCCATAATAGAGCTCATGGAGGATCCTGATGTATTGAGTTTGTATGCTCTGATTGGCTAGAGCTTCTATGACCGCTTCCATCTCAACAGAATCAAAGGCCTTCTTTAAATCAATGAACGTTAGACAGAGCGGCATCTTGAACTCCTGAGAAATCTCAATGAGCTTAGTAATCGTGTGGATATGGTCAATGGTACTGAATCCTTTTCGGAACCCGGCTTGTTCACATGGTTGTCCTTCATCTAGTGTTCTGCTAATCCTATTCAGGATTACTCAAGTGAACAGTTTGTAGATGACAGACAATAGGCAGATTGGGCGATAGTTGCCAATGTCGTGGATGTCTCCCTTCTTGTATAGTAGTACAGTCTTGCTGGTTTTCCATTGGGATGGAATCTTGCATTCAGACAGGTAGCGTGTGAAGAGCCGAACCAGTGTATTGATGAGTACTGATGGTAAGTTCTTCAGGTGTTCAGGTCTGATCTTGTCTGGGCCAGGTGCTCTTTGTTTCTTTACCGATGAGATGGCGTTGAATTTCGGAAGGGAGAACATTGGGAACGATATATCCATCGTGCAGAATGTGGTATGTGGGCAAGTGGATGTGGCTATTAAAGAGATCTGAGTAGAAGTCATGAATAATCTTCTCCATTGCCCTCCTGGAAGATGTGATAGATCCATCAGGATGTCGGAGGGCAGTCATCTTGGTCTTGTAGTTGGTGAAGGGCAGGCGGGCATTACGAATGCTTTTCCTGGCTTCTGCCGCATCTACCAGCACCGCTGTTCTCCTGTCTTTGAGGTCATCCTTGATGACTTCTCTGCATTGTTTTGCGGACGTTTGCTTGTGGTTGCCTGAGGCATGTGCCAAACCACATTGGTGAGTAAGTTCAAGAGTGTTTGAAGAAAGGCGTTTTTTGTGGTTATGTCTCTCTCTTGGCATTCTTCACACAATCATAGAGGTGCTGAATCATTCAATCGTATTCCTCATCAATGTTGTCAATGACGGCATCTTCCCATGTTGCCGCAACAGAGCCAAAGAGCTCCCAGTTGGTGGTCGTTCTGGGAGTTCTCTTCTTAAACTTTGCATTCTTTTCTCCTCATTCTGTGAGGTAGAATTTTGCACGAAGGAGACGGTGGTCTGATCCCGTTTGGAATTTTGGGACAACAGCAACATCGGTTAGGCAAAACCGCCGATTGAATATGATGTGGTCTATTTCATTGCGAAACCGTCCACTGGGAGACTCCCATGTCCAACGTTTAGACTCAGTCTTTTGGAACTGTGAGTTACCATGGAAGGTCTTGGTTGACATGATGAACTCAGACAGTCTGTCACCCTGTTCGTTCCATTCTAGGCCAAGGGTCCCGATGTGGAGTTCATTGTCTGATCTTCTTGGTCCTATCTTGGCATTAAAATCACCGACAATGATCTTGTAGAAGGTGTGATCTTCTTTATAGAACTTCTCAAGCTCCACGTAGAATTTCTCAATTTCTCTTTCACCATAATTGGATGTTGGTGCACAGACAACAAAGATAGAAACTGCCGGCAGTGAGCCACATCTATTCATGTGTAATCGTCCTATTCGGGTTGTTAGGCATTCGAATGAATCAATGCTCATGGCTAAGCTCGTGTTAACAAGGATACCGACACCGACGACTCTTTTGTCACATGTTCCAAGGAACAGTTCTTCTCCAGTGTCAAAAACTTTTAAATAGAAAGCACATTATAAAACATTTTTATTTTCCTTTTTGGGTCACACCCGGAGATGAACAGGGGTTACTCCTGGCTCTGCACTCAGGAATTACTCCTGGCAGTGCTCAGGGGGCCCATATGGGATGCTGGGAATTGAATCTGGGTTGGTCGGTGCAGGCAAATGCCCTACCCACTGTACTATCGCTCTAGCCCCTATAAAACATTTTGTAAGCCAATTTCTCATTCATAAATCATTAAAAATATACATGGTATATTCTTAGAGTTTGTCTCTGAGTTCCAAGAGTCCTGATTTTTTTCATAGATCATCATCATACTTAGCTAATTAGAATAGTCGGCAAAAGCTAGCTTCCCTCTTTATTTTTGTGCTGGGGATGGACCCCCATTCCTGTATATGAAGCATGTGTTATACCACTGACCTACATTCTACATGCCCCTCTCCCCCATCCACTATCACTAGCAGGAGAATCCCTGAGCACTGTCCATTGTAACACCAAAACAAGCACTGCCAGGAATGATTCCTGAGTGCAGAGCCAGGAATAATCCTTGATCGTTGGCAGGTGTAGCCCCAAAAATGAAAGACAAGTTTTGGTGGTGCAAATTAAAATACACATATTAATTATTACTTTTGGGGGAGGTCTCCCTAGCATTGCTCCCTAGGAGGCCTGGGAATCACTGAGCACTGCTAGATTACATGGGCCCAGTAGCTGAGTGTGAGGGCCCGGTGGTGGAACGCTGCTTTGGGCCTGCAGCATGGAGGAGAGGGGCTGTGTCCACCAGGCTCAGGAGTCAATTATTTTATTTGTAAGCAACTCTCCGAAATGCTGGCTTATCAATGTTAACTTTGAACCAAATTATTGATCTTTACCTTGCAGTAGCCAAGATGTATTCATAACGTGGTGACCAGGAAACCGCCAGTATTTCTTGCCTGTGACCTGCAAACATAATAGTGTAAAAAGTCTCACAAAGTATCTGAAACACCAAAACAAACTGCAAATTAATTTACTGTGATTCTAAAAAAACTGAAGACTATTAAAAACAAGCTATAAAACCTTTTTACATAACAATCTATGTTTAAATATTGTGAAGCCTATGGGGCATTTTTCATACATGGTATTTTATTTTAAAAGGTCTGGTTGCTTTTGTAAGAACAGTTAGAAAAAGAGAGCTTTTCTCTTTAAATACAGCTGTAGTATAATAAAGAAACTACCCAAAAAGGTTACAGTTCAAGCTCATTTACCTTCACCATAAAAACCACTACAATCTGCAAGACAGTCTAAAAAATAAAAATCTCTTAAATTTTCCAAAAATTCTAGAACAAAATGATGATTTCATCACCATATAAAGGGATTTGCATAGCCATAGGGGTAGGCTAGAGGTGCGGGCAGGAGGGAAATTGGGGACATTGGTGGGGGGAAATGTACACTCGTGAAGGGGAGGGTGCTGGAACACTGTATGACTGAAATCCAAAATCATGAACAACTTTGTAACTGTGTCTTATGATGATTTGTATAAAACTTTTTTTTTTTTTTTAGAAAGCAAGGGTAATGCATTCATAGGACTATTCGAATCAGGTATTTGTATCTACTTAGCTCAGATGAACAGAATTTCATCAAAATGGAAAATAAATGTCCCCCTCATCAAGTGTTCATGACACATGCTGTTCTGAAATCCCTTTTTACAGTGATGAACTAATCATTTTGTCCCTGACGGTCTCTGAGCACTGTGTATTTCTGGTGTGGCCCTTTTGGCCTGTGAGTACTGCCAGACACGAGCACACTGTGACATTGCTGGGCTGACAGCTGCACCCCTAGCCGATGTATATTTCTCTATTACATTTTAATATTCTAAAATAGGGGCCCCCAGTGGTGCTGGAGGCAGGGGTTGGAGGGGAGCAGGACCCTTCTCAGCAATGCTCAATCCAATGTTTGAAAGTTTTGTGCTTGAACCAGCAGTCCTCAGGTGCTTAGCGACCACCAGGGACACAACCAGTGATGCTAGCAGAAGGACAGGATGTTAGGGATCAGATTCAGGGCCTCACATATGCTTGGCCTGTGCTCTATCACCTGAACTATCTATTTGGCTCTACATTCCATTTTTTCACCATTTAAATTAGATTCTCTGATATATTTCCAAAATAGTAACAAAAATAATTTAAATTATCTTAAACAATAGTGTTACTTCAGTATCTTAATTTTTTTTTCTGGGGGGAAAAATTACCTAGATATTAAGGATGTTTATTCAGTCAGAACAATATTAATACAGCACGCATGAGACAATGTACACACTTAAGTTTTATAAGTATTTTCCACATCAAGTGTCAGAGGTACATGGCTAGATTATTTTAAAAACAACATGCAAGGTTTTGAATTGGAACTTTCATTTCCTTTGACCTTCCCCTATGTCTACTGTTCACATAAACATTTCCTCAATAGTTCAGTTTTATAAGAATAATGCACAGAAGGATCTTTATTTCCCTGTTGATTTAACAGCAAGCACAAAATACATCAGTCATGTCACTTACAAAGAATACATTGTTAGTAATCTTTCTTTTTATTGAACATTTACTCAAAGTAGTTGTTGTCCCAAATTAAAAAAAAAAATACCCTGTAGAATGTGCGAACAGGATCCAGACTTTAAGTCACAAAGTTGTACTTTGGGTCCTCGGGTACCAACTGTTAAAAAACAAAAAATAAGTATTTTGGATAAGCATTATTACAATTACTATCAAAAGAAATTAAGAAGCTACCATATGATGACATTTTCACTTTCTCCCTACAGAGATAAAAATATGTCTAAAAACATTTTACATAGTTTTTTTATTACTTATAGGCAAGAAATTTAACTGGAGTTTGCAGCTTTTAAAACATACATACATGCACATGTACACACACATACACACATATAATTGGGAGAGAGTACCACACTTAAGAGAGGACACGGGCATTTCCAGCGACAGAGAGAGCCCCAGTACACATCTCAAGAGGGGAGATGAGGGCACCACATGTGCTCAGGCACTGCATGTGCTTGGCTACAACAGCACTGGGGCTCGGGCAGCTTAATGTTTGCCCACTTCCTTTGTTCAAGGTGACTTTTATAGGGTTTCTCCAAGCTGTCCTATGTGGAACTTCTAGCTAGATAAGAGCCCCTTGCTAGGATGGTTGCCAAGGGGGTAATGTCGGGAATGGTTGAAGGTCTTCGAAATTCCTTTCCTTCGTTCCTGCTGAAGCTTCTCTGGTGAGCTGTCCAGCCTCCTCTGGGTCTGTTGGTGCCAGAAGAAGTCTTATCAGGCCTTAGTTCCTGGTCTGCAAGGTGGGTTCTTTTTGCAGTCTTGGGGCAACTGGTTTTATTACCTCCCATGGAACTCCACTGCCATGGGGCCCTGTCCTATCTACCTGCCTACATCAAAATCAGGAAATTTGCATTGCTACAATGCATATAAAATTCTGTATCTTTTCAGATCATTTGACTATTTTTTTCTTAATTTTTTAAAAAATGAGATCCAATATAGGAAAAAGAAAAATCACAGGGACCCAATGCTTACAAAACAATTTTAATTTCTTCTGCATACAGGAAAAAAAAATTAAAAGCTGGGGCTTTTATACAAATTGATGTTCAATTAGTCACACAACCTGGGAGAAAAGGACAAATTTCTTTGTTTCATCACATTAAGCTGGAATAGTGACCAAGCTTTGTTCATGGAAAATATTTGCAGATTTGGTAGTTTTAAAAGAAACACTTTTTTTAAAAAATAGTACTAGGGATCAAATCTGGGGCCCTAAATGTACAAAGCATGGATTTTACTACTAAGCCACATCCACAACCCAGCTGTTTCTTTAATGCATCAAAAGGTGCTTTCTTAATATCCGATTCTTAGCACAGGGTCTAGTTTTCTCAATATCTCTTAAGCTGAACATAAACAATATATTTATTTTAAAAACTGTTATTTTCAGTGGGTTAAAAGTTCAGTATCAGAATTAACCAGATTTAGAATGATGAACCATTTTAATATGTTTAAAGACAAAAGGATACATGTACCAACCTGCTACCAAACAATGCTTGGTGGCGACTGGAGACATATGATGACTATAAACAGTTTCTTCAAAATTAAATATATCTGCAGTCTGATAATCAAAAGATATTTTACAAATTTAAGTTCCAATTATAATCACAAACGCAACAAGTTTCTATTTACGTATTTTTACATGGCTAGCAAATTTTGACTGTTAATTCATTTCACTTAAATATAGGAATATAAAATCTCAAATACCTGATAACTTAAAATCTTACATTACTCATACCACTGTTTTCCTTTATGTGTCAAAAGTACATATCGTAATTAATAAGCACAGACATAAAATACAAATACCTGGGTCACCATCCTCCTTTACCCCACCCCAGGGAATCACCATTCATACAGATGATCTCATCAACACTCTGCCTCTCAGATTCATGCAACCCTAGTTACTACACTCAGGGCTCTCATCAGCTTGAGCTGCTCCTTCACAGAAATCACACATTTTAGCTATATGTATGATCACAACCTTATACCACTCCCAGTTTTTTGTCCAATTACTTCCAAGATATCCAAATAAATCCTAGGATTCATTTTAAGTTCCTCCTAGTTTTACTTCTTTATCCTTTTAGCTTGAATTTCAAAGTTCAGTATTTCAAGTGTCAGTATAGTCTATGCTTTTGTCAAACCCTCGCACTTGCCAAGTCCTCAACATCAGAACCATGTCTGCCTCTCACCTATATTCATACTGACCTGTACCAGAGGTCAGGACTCTTTGTCTAATTTTTGATTTTTCACAGGCACTTGGTCACAATAGCTTACAACGTCTTATCAACAAACTTACCAAGACATCTATTTCCACTTAAGCCTTTTCTTAACTCTTATATCATGAAAAATGAAAACTCATTCTCATAAAATTGATTCCACTAGTGGTCAGATGCCACTTAGTAGTAACTGAAATCTTACTCTATCAATTTTATCTACTAGATCCCTAATGGCTTATTCTCACCTGCACTAAATAATTGTGAAGATCTTTCATTTTAACAGCATTCCCTTTCCCAAGTTTAAAAAAAAAAAATCACCCTCCCCAAATTCTACTAATTAATCTTTTTTTCTTCCTTAAGTTCAATTTTTTTTTCTTTAAAACCGTTTCTAATTGCTTTCCTTCTCTCTTTTTCGGGACCATACCTGGCTCTATACTCAGGGTCACTTCTGGCTTTGCACTCAGGGGCCAGACTTGGCAGTGCTTGGGGGAGTTGGACTTAAATCAGTATCATGGCCACTAGGCAATGCTAGGCAAACACTCTAACATGTGTACTATCTCTCCAGTCCTTGTCTTAAATTTCTTACCGCCTATTTATTCCTTTAGCAATCTGACCAAGACAACTGAGGTTCAAGGTGGCTACACTAAACAGATTTTCAATATAGGTGAAATACACATCAGAAGATATCATCTACAACTCACAGCTACAGAGCAAAATCAGTGCCTGTCTTCAGCCTTTCAAAGGATGGGGTTCTCTAGTTAGAGACGATAGCAGCATGTGACTTCAAGTTGGAAGCCAGTCCCTGTTTAACATTCCAAAAATTCTAGGGCCCTTAATAATAAAGATAAATCTACTCTATTTGTATTCTACAAAAGAAACAACAATGACAGCACATCTGTTTAAAACATGCTTCACTGAGCATTTCAAGCCTACTGTTGAGGCCTACTGTTTAGCAAAGATTCCTTTCAAAATATTACTGCTCACTGACAATGCGCTTAGTTATCCAAGAGCTCTGATGAAAATGTTCAGGAAATTAATATTGTTTTCAGGCCTTTTAACATAACATCTATTCTGCAACTCACGGATTGAGGAGTAATTTCACTTTCAAGTGTTACTTGAAAATACATTTTGTGAGGCTATTGCTGCCACAGACAACAATTTCGCTAGGGGATCTAGGCAAAGTAAATTAAAAATCACCTGAGAAAGATTTTCTAGCCCATTAAGGACATTTGAGATGTACGGGAAAAGGTCAAAAGATAAACATTAACAGAAGTTTGGAAGAAGCTGTTTTCTTCCACCCCGCCTTGGATGACTGAGTAGTTCACGATTTCAGTTGAGGAAGTAACTGAAGTTGGAAGTGGATGGTGGAAATAATAAGAGAACTAGAATTAGAAGCTGAGCCTAAAGATGTGACTGTACTATGTAACTGCATGGTGAAACTAATGAACAGATGCACAGTTGCTTCTTATAGCTGAGCACAGAGAGAGAATTCCTGAGATCTGAAGCTGAAGCTACTGAAAATGATGATGGTGCTACGAATATTGCTAAAATGACAAAAAACTTTATAATATTGTACACAGTTCTTAAAGCAGAGGTAAGTTTTGAGAGGTTCATAAAAATAAGTTCAATGTCATTCCGGAAAATCCAAATCAAAATGATAATTAGGTGTCTCCTCCTAACTGTCAAAACGGATCTCATCAAACAGAAGAAGTGAACATCAGTGTGGCTGGGGCGGGAAGAGAACTCTAGAACTGCGACTGAGAATGTAAACTGGTAGAGCCACCACAGAAGGCAGTTTGGAAATTTCTCAAAAAATTAAAAATAGAACTAGTCTGTATGACCTCCAGGGATTTCTGGAAAAATGGCAGACCAGATGCTGGCAAACAAAGCCCCCTGTTAAAGTACAGTCATAAATTAACTACACAGTCTAGAAAAAGCCTCACCCACTCACAGCCTTGTCTGCTTGAGAAACCATGCATTTACCTATGCAAGGGCACATGATCACAGCATCAGTGGGACCAGAAGGGAGCAATGGCCTGGAGAGGAGACCGAGGACACCGACAGAAAGTACAGTGGCCTCCAGGCACCATTACTGTGGGCAGGCCTGACCAGGAGGGTCAAGGCAACAGAAATGTCAGCCCAGTTTTCAATCCTCTATATAGATTGTGCTGCTGGCAATTTAGCTCTTGGACAAACAAGATTGGCATTAGCTCTGATGATCTAGGTTAGCTATAGCTGATCAGCAGGGTACCTTCTACTCTGCACCGGGAAAAACGCAGAACACAGAAATGGCACAGAGGTGGAGACTGTTTGCAGACACAGGGGACTAAAGTGGCCGCAGAGCCCACTCTGTGGAAGAGCAATGTGGTGCTTTCCTTTGGGCGGCTTCTTTCCCATTCCCCACGAATGACAGCATGATCCATAGGTTTCAGGTTTTCTGTTTTATCTTCAAGGCCCTTCCCCTTCCCAGTCACGCTCAGAAACAAAGAATTCCAATACTAACACCACAGCTCCATCTGCAGGAGAGAAAGAGGAGCTTTTGATGAGTAACAAAATTCTGTAGGCAAAAACCACTCTAAGAAAAAAAAAAAAAGAAAGACGAAATCAAAACCAGAATTGCCAGAGATAAGAAAGTATCTTATACACAACAATAAAACATAATGACTCTTGAGAATATCAACTAAACACAGAGAAGCAGCTCCAAAGCATCAAAAAAGAGTTACAGAAGGACAAGAGGACAAGGAGCACTTCATCAGATTGTGTGAAGGGATTAGAAAACGTCAGACACACGCTGGGTAGAAAGAGCACACTGAAGAAAATCTAATCTCACGTGGAAAACATAAAGAAAATCACACAGATGAAAGAATATCAGAAACTGAAGCAGTGTTCAGAGCAATGACACCAGGGAAGAGAAAGGAGACTCAGAAAAAAAGAAAATCTAAGGGAAAGAATACTTACTGCCAAAAAGGGTATCAAGGGTTAAAGGAATGCCAGAAGGTGAAGACAGGAACAGCACAATAACCATATTTTAAAAATAATATCCTATAAAATTCCAACCAAATAAAAGAGCTAACTGCAGATATCCACGAAGCTGAGAGAACACTCAAAGTTTTGAATTCAAGTAACCCACTGCAGAATTTTTTTTTTCAGTTGCAGGGCCACATTACGTGGTTCTCAGGGTTTACTCCTGGCTCTGTGTTCAGGAATCACTCTAGCATTATTCAAAGAGGCCAATATGTGGTACCAGGGATTGAACCCAGGATAGCCACATGCAAGACAAGCGCTTTAACCCTTGTAGCATCACTTAGACTCCAGGTTTTTGTCATAATAATGCAAAAAAAAAAAATTTATATGACCTTTTCACAGCTGTATTCACTGTATATAAATAACAGAATATATACAACTGATTAATAACAAACACTTAGGTTTAAGAGAAATTTAAATTATAATCATTAAATTATTTGCTATAAAGGACTATCTAATTTCAAACAAAAGGTAAATAATCTTGGGGCCCGAGTGATGGCACGGCAGGTAGCGTGCTTGCCTTGCATGGAGCTGCAGCTGATGCAGGTTAAATTCCTGACATCCCACATGGTCCTCTGAGCCCATTAGGAGTGATTCCTGGGTGCAGAGCCAGGAGTCAGTCCTGAGTAGTGCCAGTGTGATCCTGAAACAAAAAACAAAAACAAAAACAAAAATAAAATAAAGGTAAGTAATCTCTTGTAATTAAAAGAGATCTTTCAAAGTTACTGGGCTAATCTGGGTATTAAAGTTCTAATACAAAAGTACAAGCACATTTCTAAAAAGGACTAGTACACCAGTGATAAATCTACTTATTCATATTTAGTTTTTAAATCTGAGTTCATTATGGATAATTTCTCCCATGTGACTCATTCTTATGGTGGGCCAAGAAAGTTGTCAGGAGTCAAGAAACACACATGGTTGTCCATGTCTGTTGGCTAGGGAGACTGTGGAAATTTTTGTTGGTCAAAGGATACAGACTTATAGTTATGAGAAATAAGAGAAGGGAAAAGTAATTTGAAATAAGAAAAACAACACAGTCCAGGTGTGATCAAAGGCAAAAGATCAATTTAAAGGGAGCAAATCATTTAAATTGAAAAGAAGTAGAAGCAAGGGTGAGGAAGAGAATGAGATTATGGAGAACTCAGAATGCCAAAAAGCATCATTAGTGGGGTTGGGTACATAGATAAAACTAGTTTACAAGATTAACTCAAGGTAGAATTCACCATGGAAAATGTGAGAAGAAAAGCAATACAGAAAAATAGGAGTTCTTACTAATGGCCCATACATATAATGATGGGAAGATAGAAAAGAGAAAGTCAAAAGTCTGAAAGACTAATTGCTAAGATTTAACGACAGTGTGAGGAGCAATTATGTTCAGTTTTGAACACGTGGCTTTTTAAAAATATGACACTATGTTTAAATGAGAGGTTTTGTAGACATATACATAAATGTCGAGCAAGAGCTCAAGGGAAGGATTAGCACTAGAAATTTAATATTACAAGATAATTATTTATCTCCTGTTTCAAATGAAAATATCAGTAACCTATTCTTTAAATTTTTAGATCAACAGGATATAACTTCATTTCTCATCCCCCCCACCCCAATAGGACACTATTATCAGAGAAGTTTTCAAATAATAAAGATAATAAATATCTCCTGATCAAGCTGCTTAACGGCCATGATCCCAGAGACTCAGAAACAAATCTCAAAACCAAGGGGCTTTTGGCAGAAATGCATCCGGACTCACAGTAGGTTACTGTCGCCGGGCCACCCAGGGGAAAAGGGTGCTGTCCCTCCTCCTGCTCCCCCTAGGCGGCTTGGTGGCCGCCATCCTCCAGAGGCCACTGGACAGGCAGATTTGGGCCCTCAGTGATGAGACATGTGGGGCCTCACAGGATGGGGGTGGAATCAGCCCTTTCCTCCCCACCCCAACGAGACCCCGACTCGCCACCCACAAATGGTGTTTCTGACTCCTGATCAAAGCTGCTTAACGGCCATGATCCCAGAGACTCAGGAACGAATCTCGGAACCCAGCAGGTTTTGGCAGAAATCCCTCCAGATTGTTGAAATTTTGGAATTTCAAAATCGCACGGCCACTACTGCAGCCATGTGACATCATATGTTATTCCTAACCATCAATAGAAAACAAATTGTCTACTGTTGCCTTTTCAGCAGATCTGAGTGTTGAGGTAAAATCCCAAATAATAATGGTGGTTCTGGTGTCAAAATATTGAATGTAATCAAAGTAGAGAGAGTAATGTGGAAATCATCTGCCTCACTGGTAGGGGGAGGGTGTGAGATGGGGGTATACTGGGGTTTTTGGTGGTGGAGAATGGGCACTGGTGAAGGTCAGGTGTTTCATTGTATGACCGAGACTTAAACCTGAGAGCTTTGTAACTGCTCTCATGGTGATTCAATAAATAAAATTATAAAAGAATCACGAATCACAACCATCCTGTTATTCGTCGATTGCCTCGAGCAGGCCCCAGTAACGTCTCCTTCATCCTAGTCCTGAGATTTTTAAGAAAGTGCTATATTCAAGGCTCTTTAGGAGAATGAGACCCATCTTTGTTACTGGTATTTGTCATATTGGGTATGCCACGGGGAGTTTGCCAGACTCTGCCGTGTGGGCAGATTACATTTGGTAGCCTGCCAGTTTGTCCAAAGTAGGAATGAGATAATAAGATGTCATAATGAGATGTCATAATAAGATAATAAAAAATGAAAAGAAAAAAAATAAGGTGAAGTTCATGTCCAATTCAATCAGCTAATCAGTGGCTGAATAAATAGCAGTACTCCTACATAAAAAAAATAGCCAGTGGTTTGGGGTGATTTATAATATGCTGAAGAATTATTCCAGGTACTTTACATTGATCAATTCATTTACAACCATTCTATAAGGCATAATCATTACCTCCATTTGTGAGGAAGACAATAAGAGAGCATCATATACTTACTCAATACCACAAACCTATAGGCAACTTAATGAGGAAAAGAACTTAAGCAATCTAAATCTCCTTTACCACTATTCTGTTTTCACATCTAACATAAATGACAATTTGGCAAAATATCACTCTAATATGTCAAAGGATTTTGTTATCCTTCACCCTATGGGGCAATTTGGAACGGTCTCGATGTACTCACTTGTAAAGTATTTGTGTCCCACACTTTCAGAGTCTTATCAAATGAGCTTGACGTGAACATGCCAGTGTCATGAGGGTACCACTGCACAGTCTCCACACTGTACTTGTGAACATCAGGATGGCTTCTATGAAACAGAAATGAATGACTTACATGACTTTCAAAACTAATATAATAACAAGTTATCAGTTTCAGGTAGATGACTAAGTCTATATCATGTGGCTATCTCCTAGCTATCCAGGGAAGGATCAAGAATATCCAGATATCTCAAGTTCCAGGCTTCTATAGTTCAATATGGAGGCCGCACTTTCCTGTAGAGACTTAAAACAGGTTATGGAGACTTAAAACTGGGAAACTTCTGTTTCTGTACTATAGTCTGGAGGGATGAGTCAGATACCCCGAACTTCACAAGGAAGAGATAGGAATTTTTCCTTATAAAGAGAGATGCTTACTCTGCTTTAGGATTTACTTTTCCCAAATATTTCATCAGCGCAACCATCCTCAGAATTGGTGAGAGTCACATGGCAATCCATGGCATACCGTCTGAGCATGAAACCTCACTCTGTGATAAAAGAATGTAATGAATCCCGAGAGTTTACCTTCTGAACTGAGTTTGCTAAGTGTGTGTGTGCTATTACAGTGGACCTAGGGACAGTGGCAGAGAGATGCTGGTACTCTGGCCATCGGTGTACTGTAGCCACAGTGTATTCCTGGAACATTAACACTACTGTGAATCACAGTACCTAAGTGTATAAATTAGTAGAAACTCAATGGAAATAATCTTGAACTGAAGTTGGATGTAACAAACCAGATTCAAGATTATCACCCTTGAGGGGGGAGGGAATTTGTTTGGATGGTGATTTTTGCAATAGAATAGGCTGGTAAGTATAGGAAAAGTGGTTAAGATATATGTATGTTGGGGAGGGGATATGAGAATTAAATGGGGGGGAGAAAATGGTGTGTGTGTGTGTGTGTGTGTGTGTGTGTGTGTCCAAACAGGAGATTCTGCTTCATGAGCAAATATCAAGACATGTCTTGCATCTAACCTTTAATCTTTCTGTTCTGTCAGTGTCTACTAATGTTATTTGAAAAATCTAATTCGTGTTTTTAATCTTTTGTTGAAAGGCTCATGATGGATATGACAGACAATAAGATCCTTCTTTTTGTTCAACACCAATAGGTAAGTGTTGAACAAAAAAGAACTCGAAAAAAAACTTTTAAAATAAAGTCATTTTGAAAATAGGTACCAAAGTTGTTTTGGGGAAATCACATGTTAAGAAACAGCTGTACCTGAATTTGAGTTATTTCTCAAAAATTGGTCATGAAAACACATCACTGAAACAACTTGCTGGAGATATTCATATGACTGTTACGTTCATGTTTTACAACTGATGCAAGAGCATATTAAACTGTTAATATATCCGTGAGTTACTTTTTTTTTGGGGGGGGGCACACTTGGCAGTGCTCATGGCTTACTCCTGGCTCTGCACTCAGGAATCATTCCTGGTAGGCTCAGGTGATCATATGTGGTGCTGGGAATTGAACCCAGGTTGGCTGTGTGCCCAATCCACTGTACTAGCCCTAAGTGACAGTATTAATACATACCTGCCAACGGAACACACTGCTTTACATGTGTAATACGGCTGTCTGCTGGAATTCTCAAGATCATAAAGTACAATCACACCATCCGAACCACCTGATAACATACTGAATAAAAAAATTCTCATTAGTTATTTTAATTCATCCAATTACCTCTGACACTGAAAATTATGAATCTGCAAAAAAACCAACTATGCCCTCACATACGAAGTAAGTCTACTAATATGGACTTCAAAATTTTTCTAAATGAATATATTTATAATTTACTTTCACGATTACAAAAAGGCTATAGAAACATGATGGAATTACATATGAAAGTAAATGTCATAACTGTTACTATGCTAAAAGAAAATGGAATCAGACCAACTAGGACTCATGTTAGCTATCTGAGTCTGGGAAAACTGCTTCATCTTTTTAAGCTTTTCAAATTTATGAAAAGAGGGAGAGCTTCACTAGACCAAAGCTGAAGAAAAGATAAACGTTATGTGTAAAATAGCCTTTATACTGCCTACTAAAGAACAGGGGATCCATAAATGTCAGATACCACCTCAATGATAATTCAATTCTTTCAGTTGTGAGTAAACATACTATTACAGCTTTATCTGTTATTACAGCTGTGAACAAAGTTATTATTCCTTCCCATACCTAAGAATATAGTAGGAAGAGAGAGATTCAACTTTATATACCAATATGAAATGTTGCTATTGGCTAATATTATTGCTCAATAATCTGGATCTCATGCTTTCTATGCAGATGGCCCATGTTTAATCCTTGGCACCACAGGGTGAATTGAGCACTGCTAGGAGCAGTCTCTGAGCACTTGGTGTGCTTGCTTGGTGTGGTCCCCAAACGAAACAAAAATCATTTTCTTAAAACTTTGAATGGGCTGGAGCGATAGCACAGCGGTAGGGCGTTTGCCTTACAAGCGGCCAACACGGCCGACCCGAGTTCGATTCCTCCATCCCTCTCGGAGAGCCCGGCAAGCTACCGAGAGTATTCGATATGCCAGACACAGTAACAACAAAGTCTCCAATGGAGACGTTACTGGGCCCGCTCGAGCAAATCGACGATCAACGGGAGGGAAAAAAAAAAAACTTTGAATAGGAGTGGACTAGAGTGACAGTACAGCAGGTAGGGCTCTTGCCTTGCATGTGTCAGAGCTGGGTTCAATCCCCAGAATGCCATATGGTCCCCCAATCCCTTCCAGGAATGATCGCTGAGCACTGAGCTAGAAGGAAGCCCTGAGTACCATCCAGTGTGGCAAAACAATCAAACAAACAAATCCAAAACTTTAAGAAGAAAAGATTTGTTCTATACTTTTTGGTGGGTGTTCGGGACTCTGGGATTATTCCTGGTCATGCTTGAGGGGCCATGCAATGCTGTGGATTGATCCCAGGTCTCCTGCATACAAAACATGCAAATGCTCATTGAACTCTCGCCAGTCTTTGGTTTAGAATATTTTAAACGTGTTCAGAATGTGGCAGTTTACTATTAGCAGGATTTCCTATTTTTTTTCTCGTGTTCTCAATGTTTTTCTTGTTTGGTGGGGAAGGACACCCACACATGATGATGCTCAAGGTTTACTCCTCGCTCTGCTCTCATAGGTCACTCCTGGAGGGTTTGGGGGAACATACACAGCGCTGGAGATCAAACCCGGGTACAGTATGCAAGCAAGCATCCTATCATTGGACTCTAGCTCTAGTCCCTCAAACTTTTTCTGGGGCATCTTGTTTCTGTGGTATTTAGACACTTCCTTTGCCTATTATTTGAACATATAGGTAGAATCGATTCTGTCCCAAGCAGTCACTCCTTGCCCTACTGCCCTGCAGTGGGCCCTGAGCTGATTAGCTGAAGAGATTATAGACCCTAACAGCTTTCATCCTGCAGGTCCTGTTGTGAATTCCTTGAAGAACAAGACTGGCATTCTTCAACCTTAGACTGGTGAACCGGCACCTCTACTGCATACTTCAGAGTGATATAAAAGTGTAATTTGTGTACTTGTACAGAAAATTTTTTTGGAGGGCCACACCCAGTGGTGCTGGGGGACTACAAAATATCAGGGGATGGAACTGAGGGCTGCCTAACAAACAGGATGCACCCTCTGAACCATCTCTCTTAGTCCCCGATAGAGTTTTTAAAATAAGCCCCTATTTCGGCAATAAATCCTTCTTTATTAGATTTCTGTAGTCTAGACTCTGGCTTTCAGTGTTATTACCACAGACCTCACAGTGATAAATATTAAATATTTTGAGAAACTCGTGTGTGAACAAAATAAAATCAATACTTAATTTTCCATTACACATACATTTTGCTTTTCATTTCTTTTTGCTGCTATAAATGTTTGGTGCAAAATACAAATCTTAGCTAAGAATGGAACAGTTGCAAATTTTCCACCATGCAATCATGAGGAAAGAAAGCCACTATAGTGAATCTTAACTTTTCTCTGTATTCTCATTAAAGAAGCTTCAGCCTATAATTATCAATAAATACTTCATACATGTATAATTTCTAATTTCTCATATTTCCAATTGACCTCCTAACTGACAGTGCACTAGAGACACATATTTTATAAAACTAACGACAATATAAGTGGTTAATTGGAATATTAAGTAATTTTTCCATGAGAAACGAAGACCAAAAGAAATAAAGCTCTCCCTTGTTGCTCATGTCTGTATTACTTAATTTTATTAGTGTCCTCTTGCAGTGCTGGGAATTCAGTCTCACACATGCAAGGTAAATGCTCTATTACTGAACTAATACCCTTCATGTCTGTATTATTTTATAAATAAAGGCTCCATGGCTATGCTGACTAGGACTATTATATAAAGGATTAGAAAAGGTCAGAAAAGAAAAAGAATTATCACTAGTTATTTTTAAGTGCTGAAATGAGAATTTTATCACCACCTATTTTTCTTATACTAGCAAATGAGACCATTTACTAGAAGATGAAAAGCAGGAAATAAAAAGTGGAAATCTGAAGTGAGAGATAAGAGGGCAGGGCTTGCCTTGCAAGCAGCTGACCTGGGTTTGATCCCTAGCACGACTTATGGCCCCCTGAGTCCTCCAAGAATGATCCCTGAGCACAGAGCCAAGAGAATCCCTGAGCACTGAAGGGTGTAGCCCAAAAACAAAGACCAAACAAACAAACAAAAAAAGAAATTCTTTAAATCTTTCCTGACTCATTTTAATGTAAATACTAAGGGAAAAAAATAATCTCATTATAATATGAAAATTCTGGGCAAATGCTAAACATAACCTCACAAGAAAAAGTACAAAATTGCTTTGGGCTGGAGCGATAGCACAGCGGTAGGGCATTTGCCTTGCATGCTAAGCGAAATGAGCCAGAAAGAGAGGGACAGACATAGAAAGACTGCATTCATCTGGGTAACATAAAGCAACAAAATAAGAGACTAGCACCCAAGAATAGCTGTGATAAATGCCAGGAGGTTCACTCCATGGCTTCGAGGCCAGCCGCACATGCTAGGGGTAAAGGCAGCTCAGATAGAGAAGGGAGCACCAAATAAAGGTGGGAAGATTCGCCCAGGATGAGAGATGCATGCTGAAAGTAGACTATAGACCAAACATGATTTCCACCCAATGCCTCTTTTGCAAACCACAGCACCCAAAAGGAGAGATAGAACAAAAGGGAGTGTCCTGCCACAGAGGCAGGATGGGATGGGGAGATGGGGGGGTGGGCGGGATACTGGGATTGGTGGGGGTGGAGGATGGGCACTGGTGGAGGGATGGGTATTTGATCATTGTATAACTGAAACCCAAGCACAAAAATTTGTAAGTCTACAACTGTACCTCATGGTGTTTCACTAATAAAAAAAAAGGAAAAATAAAATAAAATTGCTTTATACTTGTTTTCATTATAAAACCATGTGAAGGTTTTGAACTTTCTCTTACGAGTAACATGAGGTCAAAATGAGTTCTAGGGGCTGGAGCGATAGCACAGCGGGTAGGGCGTTTGCCTTGCACGCAGCCAACACGGCCGACCCAGGTTCGATTCCCAGCATCCCATATGGTCCCCCGAGCCCCACCAGGAGTCATTCCTGAGTGCAGAGCCAGGAGTAACCTCTGAGCATTGCTGGGTGTGACCCAAAAAGAAAAAAAAAATGAGTTCTAGGTCAAAATGAGTTCTAAGGGGAGAGCATGTTTAGATTTTTCAAAGTATTCACCTTTGAGTGGAGAATTGAGGAAAGGGGTAAAAGTAATGGGACTGCTTTTTGTTAATAGCAGTGAAGGTTATTATTCATGATATAGCAGGTTCTATGACAATCATGGTATGCACATTATCTCAATTAACATTCATAACAAACTTATCAGTTAGCTATCACTGTTCACATTTATAGCCAAGGTAACTAAGAGCTAGAAAGGTCACAAGCTGATAAATGGTAATAAAGTCAGAAGGAAGTAGAATATAAATCTGATTTGCTTCAAACCAATTCTCCAAAGTACACTTTTGGTTGCTGTATTTGGCTACACGCTGGGTTACAGACTAGCGACTAATCTTTAAAGCATTTTAAAAGTTATCTACAATGAAAAGAATTTCAGTACCTATTAATTTAACAATGACTATAGCTTTTTTTGAAGTCTATGGAATAAGACCAGATTAAACATGGTACAATTTAATTCTACTTTTAGACACTTATATAACTAATCCAAAATCAAGATTTTACTGCATGTCAGGCAGAAAGAAAAATGGTGGTTTTACAAACATCATAAACTTACTATCTCCCCTCAACAGGCTCAATGTCAAGGGTGTTGACTCCGCTGCTATGGATCCTTTCAACATCTCGGTCTTTGTTTAACTCCAGGCCCAAAACCCTTTAAGAAATTTTAAAAATAAAGGGGAGAAAAGTAAAGATAAAAATAAATAAGGTAATTTGATATTTACAAATCCATATTTTATACAGAGCTGAAATTGCAAGTTATGATTAACCTTCTTTCTACCACATATCCAAAGATTTTTAGAGATTCTACAGAAAATCTAATATATCAACAGTGGGCCAGAGAGACAGTCCAGTGGTTAGGATACTTACCTTGCATGAGTCCAACCTGGGTTGGATCCCTCATTGCCCGTAAGGTCCCCTAAGCCCCAATAGGAGATCCCTGATTGTACAGCCAGGATAAACAATAGAAGGTATGGCCCAAAAGGAAAATAAATAATTATTATATACATATATAATTTGCTTTTTGGGTCACACCTGGCGTTGCACAGGGGTTACTCCTGGCTCATGCACTCAGGAATTACGCCTGACGGTGCTCGGGGGACCATGTGGGATTCTGGGAACCAAACCTGTGTTGGCTGCATCCCAGACAAATGCCCTACCCACTGTGCTACTACTCCAGGCCCAATTATATTATATTTAAATGTAACAATAATTACATTTAAATGCTTTCTCCTGAAGCATTATTTAAAATTATTTAAAGGTGCATTTTATTTGCTTTAGAATATTTAGAGAGGCTTGTTCTTAAGCCCATGTTCTCCCTTCCACACGTCTAGTTGTTTTTCACAATGTTTTTTTTTGTGTCACCCTGAAGAAACCTGTATTCTCAAACATGTATTTTTTCTCCTCTAAGAAGGCTTCTAAGTAAGTTTCATTTAATAAAAATTATCTTGCTTTACACACACACACACACACACACACTTATACACAAAGATACTCAAGACTAAAATTTTCAGGAAGTTAATGCTAGAAATTTTAAGTTAACTGAGGACACCTGGTGGACAAAATCTTAAGCTTCTCACTCTCCTCCAACCTGGGTTGGATTATAAATTTATATTATGCCTATATAGTATATAGAAAGTACGCATATATATATAGTCCAACTAAATAATATATGTAGTGGCTTAAGATTTTATCTTAAAATTTTTTACATATACACATATTATATATTTTAAATCCCAGAAGTGGTTCCTATGAGATGAAAATGTAAAATGAGGATGTTCAGGGGGCCGCAGAGATATACAGGGTAATATCCTGGCTTGATCCCAGGCACTGCATATGGTGCCCAAGTAATACTAGGATTGATCCCTGAGCAGAGCCAGGAGTAAACCCTGTGCACAACTGAAGGCGTCCCCCAACACAAAAATTTAAAAAATCCATGCTTAAGTCAATCACCATCATGTTGCTGGGACTGAAAAGTAACCAGGAGAAATGAAAAATTATCTATAATGAAATGATCTGAATTACTATGAATACTTTTGCAGAAACCAGGAACGATCAGACCTTCCCTACAAGAACAAATTCTTTGCTAAAGCAGGTTTCTTCATACAGGTAGAAATGGCATTAAGAAGAAAACTTGGAGAAGAGACAAAATCTTGCCATTTGCAGCAAATTTGAGTGGAACTAGAGGGAATCATTTTAAGTGAAGTCAAAGAACAATACCACATGATCTCACTTATCTGCGGTATCCAGAGAAAAAAGAAAACAGGTACTATCAAATGATGATAAACTCTTGCTCTTTGAACACAAATCAAAGACTACCAAGCAGAGGGCGCATAAAGAAGAGGTAGATTTGGGAAAGCAATGTAGAACCCTACCATGCTTAGTGAGTGAAGACGCAAGCCTGGAAGACTCAACTAATAATAAGCTCTATAATTCTTGGATAAGGAATTTAGAAAGGAATTGTTGAACAGGATGTATACGGAGCACAAAGAAACAATGGAATGAACTGCCAACAAAACACAACAGCATATTTAAGCAAAAATGAGGAAACTACAAACAAATGATAGAACTGAGAAACTTGGTAGATGAAATGAAAAATTCACTGGAAGGCTGCAACCGCAGAGTAAGAGCTATTGCGAACAGAATCACTAAGCTCCAAGATGAGGTGCAGAAACATCCAGGCAACAGCAGATGGGAAAATGTCTCAAAATAAACGAACAGCTGACAAGGAATAAATTCAAGATGATTCGTAAGGATAACCAAGGTCCCAGAAGACCAGGAATTCAACCCAAATGTCTTTGAATCCAGTCAAAGATATCTTTGCTGAGAAGCTTCGAGAGCTGAAGAGTGGATGCACCTAGTTTCAGTAGGGCTGAAGAGTAAGTACCAGCTAAAAGAAATCCAAATAAAAATACTTCGCATCCTAATCAGAATGACAAAAAACACAGAAAGAGAAAGAACACTGAAAGCAGTAAGGTCAAAAAAGGAAATTACATACAAAGGAGTGTCCTTAAGAGTTACAGTAGATTTATCAAAAGAAACCCTTTGGGACGAAAGACAGCGGCAAGATATAGAGAAAAACTCAATGAAAAGAACGTGTTACCAAGAATACTTTACCCTGATAGACTCTCATTTGGATTTGAAGGAACAATACACAACTTCACAGAGAAACAATAACTCAGGAACTTCACAGACTCTAAACCATCTCTATAAGAACTAAAAAGTTACTTTTTAGTAACAAAGACAAAATGTGTCCCACAAACATGCCAAATTCCTGAAAAAAGATGTCACAGAACTTCATGACCATAATCTCCAGTGAAAATAGGTTAAATGCAGCAATTTATAAGAGACATAGAGTGGCAGGATGGATTAGAAAACTGAACCCAATTTTTTTCTGTTGCCTGCAAAAAACACATTTGAATAATCAGAGCAAGCAAAGACTTAAAGTCAAAGGTTAGGAGACAATTCTTGAAGACAATTCTTGGGGCTGGAGCAATAGCACAGCGAGTAGGATGTTTGCCTTGCATGTAGCTGACCCGGGTTCGATTCCCAGCATCCCATATGGTCCCCTGAGCACCACCAGGGGTAATTCCTGAGTGTCGAGCCAGGAGTAACCCCTGAGCATCGCCAGGTGTGACCCAAAAAGAAAAAAAAAAGACAATTCTTCAAGTAAACAATTCCTTCAAAATGGCCGGGGTGGTCATAGTATCAGACAACATAGACTTCAGAGGGAAAAAGGTTATAAGAGACAGCAAAGGTCATTTCTTCATGATTAAGCGATCTGCACACAAAGAAGAACTCACACTCCTAAATGCATATGCACCTAATGAGGGGCAAACAAAATACTTAAAACAACATGCCAACAGACTTGAAGAAACTGATAGCAATACAACAGAAGTTGGAACCTCCAACACCACTCTATCACCACTTGTCATCACTTGATAGAAGAACTAGATCAGAGTTCAGTAAGGAATATTTGAAGGAAGAAATGAAAGACAAGGGTTTTGTGTGTGTGTATGGTGTGTGTGTGTGTATGGTGTACATACACACACTCACACACACACACACATACCCAAGATAGACGACATGTTAGGACACAAAACATACTACCATAAAGTCAAGAGCATAGAAACCATGTCAACTATTTTCTCAGACCAGGATGCACTGAAAGTAGAGGCTAGTCATAGACAGTAATGGAGAAACAACTCAAACAAATATAAACAAGTGAGAATGAGGACATTACCTAACAGAACTTGCGGCATACAGCAAAGGTGGTTTTAAGAGGAAAGTTCACAGCCACTCAAGTATTCATCAGAAAGGAAGAAAGGGTCCACATAAGTAACTTTACTGCACAGCTTAAGCTGGAAAATGACCAACAAAAGGAGTACAAAGCAGGCAGGAGAAAGGAAATAATAAAACTTGGAGCAGAAGTTAATGAACTGGAATTCAAAAGATTAATGAAACTAAGAGCTGGCTTCTTAAAAAAATTAACAAGAGGGGGCTGGAGCAATAGCACAGTGGAGTGTGTTTGCCTTGCACGCAGCCGAGCCAGGTTCGATTCCCAGCATCCCATATGGTCCCCTGAGCACCGCCAGGAGAAATTCCTGAGTGCACGAGTCAGGAGTAACCCCTGTGCATCGCCAGGTGTGACCCAAAAAAAGTAAATAAATAAATAAATAAATAAAAATAAACAAGAGTGATAATCTTTGTGAGCAAGACTCACAAAGTAAGACAGCGAGCGAGAGAGAGAGAGAAAGAGAGAGAGAGAACACGCTAATAAACTGAATCAGAAATGAAAGAGGGGACAACACAATAGACACCACAGAAATTCAAAGGATCATCGGAGATTACCTTGAGAATCTTTATGCCAGGAAACAAGAGAACCTAAAAGAGATAAATTCCTGGACTCCTATGACCTCCCAAAGTTGAATCAAGATGATCTGGAATACCTGAACAGACTCATCACTATCAAGGAAACTGAAATGGTAATCAAAAGTCTTCCCAAATACAAAAGTCCAGGGCCAGATGGATTCACTAGTGAATTCTTTCAAAACTTTAAAGAGGACCTACCCTCTTCAGGATTTTCCAGGAAACTGAAGAAACAGAAATACTCCCCAACAGTTTCTACGAAGCAAACATCACCCCGATACTAAAAGCCAAAAAGAAACACCATCAGAAAATAGAACTACAGGCCAATATCCTTGATGAACACAGATGGAAAGATCCTCAACAAAATACTAGCAAACAGAATCCAACAATTCATCAAAAAGATTGTACATCAGTTGGTGAATGGTCTTGGGCACCTGGGTGGTGATGAAAGTATAGTAACTTTATATATTAAAACCATGAAAATTAATGTTATTGTAATCATGTTGGGTTGGGGTGATAGCATAGCGGGTATGACGTTTGCCTTGCACGCAGCTGACCTGACCGACCCAGGTTCAATTCCTCCACTCCTCTCAGAAAGCCCGGCAAGCTACTGAGAGTATCTCACCCACAGGGCAAAGCCTGGCAAGCTACCCATGACATATGTGATATGCCAAACACAGTAACAAGTGTCACAATGGAGACGTTACTGGGCCCGCTTGAGGAAATTGATGAACAACAGGAGGACTGTGACAGTGACAGTAACCATGTTACCTAAGCTACAATTAA